TTTGCCACAGGCTCTTCCGATGAAATAGATGAGCCCTTATTCATAATGGGGGATCTAGGCTCTGCCTCATAATAGAACCTTTGTTTGGTTCGCAACCTCAGGCAAGATGCTTAGAATAAACCATCTCCAAATGCATATTTTAGGGATGCTTTTATTAGATGATTATTTAGCGGTCATACCTACAAGGACTTGATTAGTTTTAGGGCAGAGGTCACCAAATGTTGAAGTTAATTATTCGGAACAATCCTTTCGGATCTAAACCAAGGGTATCAATCACCAAATGAGAAGAGGAATCCAAACCCTTGTTTAGGACTTTACATGAGATGAAAAAAACACTATAGCATTATAATCACACAATTCATGCTTTAGAACTCTTAAGAAAATGAAAAAGAATATCCGTAAAAATTGCTTGTAAATTTAATTTTTCAAAAAGAATAACATAGTTGCTTGTCTGTCTAACCCAACGGAGATAAAGTTGTCATATACAAGTTTTTGCTTATAAGCTTCATAATTTGCAAATTCCTCTATGGTCGGAAATTGAATTGTACAATGTGAAAATCCGTATCTCCCCACCAAAAGCAGTTGAAATTTCCATCAAACGAATACACTTGCATCCTCTTGATGACTATTACAAATGTCAAACATTGGTCTTTTTATCATGGTCTTTCAAAGTTTAAACAAAGGTCCCAATGTTATAGCAAATCAGTACAATCTTGAATTCCATGAGAGCGCTATCAGCAGTCGTACCCAATAAAGTTTAATTCCTTTTAACACCACTTCCTATTCAGAAAACAAACATTTTGGCACTAAATTCCTCTTTTCTCTCTGATTGAGCAGAAAATAGCAATAATCTGTGACGAGATTACTACAAATTCAACAATTGCGGAAACTACCTAACACCAAGGCTAGGCTTCAGCATAAGAAGTCAAGTAACTTCATGTGAAGTCTGGTTTAACTAAATTTCCAATTTTGTGTCAGAAGTTATAACCATAGAGAGAGAAACTAAACCCAATTACAGAAGACGCGTTATCACCAAGAAAGAGAGAGAGAGAGAGAGATGAGCTATTACCTTTATCACAGGTGGGCGTTGTGAATAGAGGAATCTGGAACTTCCTCTTTTCAGTCGTAGAAGAGGCTTTCCCAATCCAGAACCCCATGATAAGCGCACAAAATTGGAGGAGGAGAAGGCCTTACGATTAGAAAGAAGAGAAGGTTGAAGAGGAGAGAGAGTGGCAGAGATACTCGCCGAAAACAAAGCCATTTGGGTCTCTGCAATTCCAAAAATCTAGGATTGGGAGACGGACATGGCAACACCCTCTTGTTTTGAGACACTTGAAGCATTCAATATATTAAGGGTGGCAAAGGGCCCAGGACCCGCTCTTATTTTTTTGGGCCGCCCCAGGTCCAGGCCCGGACAAATGAAGAAAGAATCCAATAAAAAGGATTTTCTATGAAGAACCTATTTATTTCAGCCGAGGCTTTAAAAATTAAAGTAGAGCCCACCTCAAAAATTGCACATCTTCAAATTGGTCGTCGCGACATCAAGATGCATACACATGAGTAAAAAACTAGATTTCAAAGTTTTAGAAATAGTATATCTTGTAATACATTTTTGGGTCGTCAACTTTTAAGATTTTCAAGTTTTCATAGTTATGCTTAATCTACAATATTGTTTGGGTGTAGTTTCTATAAGGTTGCAACATTAAATAATCCAATTAAGATGCACCTCCAAATTTTATCATACCATGTAATTTTGGTGTAAAAAGTTATTAAGATTATCTGAAAATCTATTTTAATATCTAATTATAAAATTTTAAACTCAAAAAATGGTTAAAATCAAGTAGATCTATAAACATATGAAAATCTTAAAAATGGACAGTCTCGATAATATGTTGCAAAATACACTATTTTTGGGACTCAAAATATTTTTTTTTTTTATATTCATACATCTCAATGTCGAGATGATCAATTGGAGGGTTTTCAATATTAAAACAACCTTTTTTTGATAGAGTTTTAAGGTGCATATCTAATTCTACATTTTAAGGTTGCAACTTTGTATAAACTTTTTCCATATTTTTTAAGCTTTAAATTTTATAATTAAATATAAAATTATATCTTGAGGCTATCACAAAGATTTCCAATAATGAAACCATATTTCTCGACACTATTTGAAGGTACACTTTACTTCAATTATTTAGAGCTTCGGCTCTATACAAACCGCACTCATAAATCTTTTGTATATGGAGGTGACAATTATTTTCATTCATTAGATGTCAAATTAGACGGCTTGGGGTGAGTCACGAAGTTTGAGAGTTTTTTTTTGGAATTTTGTGTCTATTTAATGGCACTCTTACAATAACCCATTTTGAAATTCAAGGGATAAGAATGGTTGCGACTTCTTTGTGCAAAAGATAAATAGCCTCTTTACGGACAATCTGAAAAAAGTTAAATAAATAAATAAATAAGTAAAAGGCAGGCCAGGATGAACTGGCATGGCCGATCCCTACTTTCTTAGATCCGGGCCAACCAGCTCTACAATATCTGTCCATTTGCAAATGCTTGGGTAAACACGCATCCTCGTGTAATTGCACAAACTCCTGGTGTGCCATGTTTGGTATGAGACAATAGTCTCGTACCAACATTCACCGTCTCCTTTTCTATGGATGGCAGATATTAGTAACTACTTTTACTTAAAATAATTTTTGACATTTAATAAATGGCCTCATAGTGTATCCTCTATATTATGAAAAAAGTTTATAAAGAGCCGAGACTCTAAACAATCAAATTATAGCGTATCTCAAAAATTTCACTAGAAGAAGTTATTGTGATACCCAAATATCCTCAAATTGATCATCTCGATTCATGGACAACAGAAAAAAATAGATTTAAAGTTTTGGAAATAGTGCATCTTGTAATGCATTTTTGGACCGTCAACTTTTAAGATTTTCAAGTTTTCATAGATTTCCACGATCCACACTATTTTTGAAGCTTTAAATTTTATAATTAGAGATAAAAATATGTTTTAAGGTTATCACAAAGATTTCTAATAATGAAAACACATTTCTTGACACTATTTAAAGGCGCGCTCTACTTTGATTGTTTAGAGCCTCAGCTCTATATAAACCACACCCAAATATTAACGAATATAACTTATCGTAATTCTACCTCCTAGTTAGCAAGACTCCGTTAAAAACACGATGTTTTTTCAAAAAATCTCCGCTTTTTTGAAATCCGTTAAGAACTCTGAGTTTTTCAAAAGATCTTCAAAAAATCGTGTTTTTTAATGGAACCGATATAAACCTGTATTTTATCTTTTTTAAAAAAACTTTTCAAAAAATTTCTTCCCTATAATTTTAATTTTTCATTAACTTAATATTATTGAATTTTAATTTAAAGATAAGCACATTAAGAATCTCGAATTAAAGTAAAATTCCATAAACACTTTCATCCATAAATTCCCTTAAAAAAAGTGTATAAAAAAATACCAGCAATATATTCCCCCAAAAATAAGATATCAAAATAATCGTATGTACTAAAATAATAAACAGAGTTAACCCATGAAAATCTTTTTCTTTTTAAACCCAGAGCGTCCTTATAAAGAACAAGAGAGATTCAATGATACCAAAGATTTAGGCAGCTAGGAATCCGATGTGAGATTTGGATTTGCTTAGCATTTTGTTGCTTTTTCTATGCATAGAGAAATTTGATTAATTGCTTATTTTTATTTTTTTTATTGGTATATACAACATAGCATTGTGGATGAACCACTATTTTATATATTTGGATCTTTGTATTTTGTTTTAGTTATTTGCAATCCTACACCGCTGTTTTTTTTTTATCATTTTTTTCTTTAAACAATAATCCTATACGTTGATTTAAAATTCTTATTATTTACTAAATGTAGTTCTTGTGTTAAGTATTATTGTTGTTGTTTTATTTTATGCTCCCCATAAATTATCAAGTATTACTGTACTGACACTAGGCAAGGATATAAAAGTATTGTACAATGGCTTTAATATATCTGTACAATAATTGCAAATCATAATCATCTATTAGTCATCTTCATATATCTGATTTTTTTTACTCCATTTTTTTAAATAGATCTGAAATATTCATGATTTTGTAACTTTTAACTTATTTTTTGACGATCCATATTTTTTATCCAATTTTTTCCTCCGACTACTTGAAAAAAAACCGATTCGATATATATTACTATTTTCCCGACTTGCTAACTATGGTCCAAAAATAGAATTCTTCTTCTAGGTTAATAGAAGATACATCCTCGAAGGGCTCCTGAATTTGGCTGAAAAAGGATTCATCCTTTGGCTACAGGATCCCTCAGCTCGGTCAAGCCTTTTAGGGGAATCTTATTTTGAAAGTTTTTGAAAGTTTGCTATGTACTTGATCAATCTTTCTTAAAATAAATTTGAGATCAATTTAAAAAGAGGGAGGCATTCATAAAAATCGTAATTAGTATCACAAAATTTGTATAAAAATATAAAAATTATAATAAAACTATTAGTCAAAACTCACAATTAATATCACAAAATTATTATCAAAAACCACAAAACTCATTTTCTCCATCATTTATTTACTAATAATCACAAACTGAGTATAAAGTTTTTGGTACAAATATTGTATTAAAATTAGTATCAATAGATACTCACACAGAAAACAGCCGCTCAATATTCATGTATTTTTGCAAAATATTGAAAGTCCATGATACACTACCCATTTTTTTGAAACTCAGGAAATAACATTTCTAACATTTTTAATATCATTATGAACTTTTTTTAAAGCCAAATCAAGCCAATCCGGCATTCCGGACCACCGATTTGCCAATGTAGACCGGTTTGTGGGGTGGGCGATATAGGTCACCAATCACTTTTTTAAACACTGGTGAATATAACAGGGGAATGAACTGTCACTAAGGCCACCTGAAAAACCAACATGGCCCAAACTCTCCAAAAGAACTACCCAACACGAGCAGAGCCTACAGGTTTCCAAAAATTATCCAAATAGATATGAGATGATAAAAGCTTATGGCTAATAAACAGTCTATAAGGAAACAAGCATAATATTAAAACAAAAACCATCAAATTACAGAAGCCCACCAGCAAGGATCTTCACCCATCAGTTGTCAAAGTGAAGGCAAGGAGTGCAATACCAAGAGAAAAAACTGTGGTTACACAGGCAAAAGTCCAAAGTGCCCACTTTGCAGAAGACTTGTTTTCTAACCTCGATACCTCAACGTCTTTTAGAAGCTCCCTTACTTCACCGATGTCCCCATCTTTTGCAGCTTGCACCAGTCTGCTATGGACTTTATCAAGCTCAACCATCCTTTTGGCTCTTTGAGCATCTTTGGAGGACCAAATACAGCTTGTTGTCCTCCATAAAAGAATGCCAACATATATCGCTACAACACAATCGACACTGTAATGATGCCTCTCTCGAATTTCCCTCTGAGCACTGTGCAGAAGGAGTAGCCATATGAGACCAGATGCCCAGCCCCCATAGGCTTCCTATTAGCAAGAGGGTATCGAAGTTAGTAAAAGCCATAATATGTTTAAAATCTACCAACACAGGTCCATTCATGTGAGCAACAACAGTACCGGCCATGTCAGGTAAAAGACAAAGCTGAGAGCAAAAATGAGGATGTTTCATTGCGGCTGTGAATTAGGGAGAGAATGTGTGTGTATTTTTGTGACACAGAGAAAGAGAGAGAGTTTTTGTATGCGCAAGTGCATGCACTTGTTCTCTTTTTAATGCATTTTTTTTTTTTTAATTTGTTGACTCTTTTTTTAATACATATTAAGGGAATCTATTTGTTTCAACACAGGATAAAAATTACTCAAGAGACTTACTGTCCATGCCATTGCTGTCAAAACAGCAACAAGCATGTGGCCACTATAAACGAGATCATTGCAGCCACCACCGGTTCTTTTAAGGGTCGCAAACCATGAAGATCCTTCAGAAGACAAAGTGGGCCTTAAGAGATCAACCAAGAAGCTCATTGACCCCCAATCTGGTCGGTATTCAGGAGGGTGATCCTCAACTGCAGCTAAGTAACCAATACATGCAACATAGCAATTAGGAAAGAATAAAGCTAATAAGAAGCAAAAGGGGAAGTTAACCCTAATGAGCAATGGATTATGGAATGTACCTACACAAATTTGTATCAGTCTAGATATAACATACCATAATTTGTATCAGTCTGGATAAGTCTACGGATAGCATTACGGTCAAAAGCATAAGGCATGTAATACTCTTGAGCCCACGGATGAGGGTGCTCAGGTATTCCAAACCGAGCAGATGCACACCAAGGCCGAGCAGAAGGAAGAATAGTGGATACAAATGTGAGCACCCTAAGAAGACGGCCAACTGCCATTGTGAACATGTATCGTGCACCAAGCCCTAGGCCGGGGGCTTGTACACAGTCAAACAGAACCGAGAAGGCCAACATTAAGAAAAGCATTAAGTAATGGTGCAGGCCAATAAGATGAGCCCTTAATAATTCCACCACTGTATGAGGAAGCTTGTCATTTAATGCCAGAAACAGCCACTGGCCTGTGTCTGGAAGTGGATGTGCATTTCTGTCATTACAAATACCATAACACTTAGTCATCCTTCTTGCTTCTTGGTACTTCAGTAGAACATAGCAGACAATATTATGGAAAAGAACTTCAAAAATAATGTGCATGTGAACCCATTAGGTAGGAATGATAAGTCAATGATGCCTATTGTGAAATGAAGATTACTAGATTAATATCAGCTCAACCGAGCATCATGTTCTTCAGATGTCGAAATTCAATAATTGTTGTACAATTCAACAGTGGCCAAGAGACCCGTATTATAGGAATAAACAAGCAAGGAATTGGCATTATTATTGGTTCATTTAGTGAAGCGTACAATATTGGTTTATACTTGATTTCCAAATCTTTCATTAAAATCGGCCAGTCACCTTTTACCAAATATTAATAAAATGAAATTCATTGTTTTCACCAGATTGATTTCTCTCCTTGGCCAAGTGGAAGTTTGTCGGAATACTGTGTCCATGAAGGTTAATACAGTTTCTAAATTAAAGAGATATATTTTCCTACAATTTATTGCAATGACATAAGTTTTTTAATACACAAGGGTCTCACATACATCATTTATGAGTGAGTAGGTGATTTCTCTAATGGAGGAAATCCTAAATGATGTAGAAGATTTAACTACTAATTTCAATAAGCTCCTGTTGACTCACCTGATCTTTATCTCTTGCTCAACTTCTTATATATAAATAAAACTCATGTGAGCATCACCCATTGAGCATAACCCAATCCAATTTCGTAGAGAATTATGGGTATGCGCTTTTGCAAAGTAGGGTTGTTTAAATTCACTGAGAAAGAGAAGCCATTGCCAGATCTGGGGAAAAAACCAAAAGACAATGAATATTTCCTGCAGATTAAAGGTACACTATATCTTATGAGCTATGCTTCATGAACCAATTAATTTGTAGATAACATATTTATTTCCACATAAAAATATCTGATTTTGAACAGGAAGAAGAACTGCTCGCATGAGGTTGCCCTTTATAGTGAAAATGACATAAGGACAGGTGGGCAATCCCTTTTTCTTCCTTCTTGAGTAGGGGAGGGAAGCGGGGAGTAATCATGAACCTATCAAAAATAGAAGCTCTGTCTCATATTGACTAGTGATTTACCCCATAAGAGAAACTACTTAATGGCATATGCAACCTTATGCATTTAAAACCCATATGTCCCTACTAAATATCACCCAAAAAAACACAAATTTTTTATTTTAAAAAATAGAAACTATCTTGACCACATGGCCACAATATTCCAAAAAAATTCCAATCCGACACATTTTTTTACGAAGCTTGCGTCCCTCGACAGGTTTGTTTTCACCCTCAATTTTGCCACCTTTATTTCTAGATGTCAATATTCCCATCTAGTGTAAAGTATTGCAAAACTGCCACCCAAGTATTGAGATCCACTCATTTATACTAACTTTTCAAAGTTCTAATAATTTGTTTGAATACTGCCCTTCATATAATAATCAATAAATGGGAGTGTGTACTTTCTCTCATGAGATCATACTAGGAAAAAGTACCTGGGAGATTTTTATAATCTGAAATTTCAGGATCCACTTAAGAATCGCCAGATGATTATTTTCCAAAAAAAAAAAAAGGATTTTAAGTTAATTAACACATAGATGTCGTCCTGCAAAAATTGGATAGTCAGTGTTTCAATCTTCGAATGATTTTTTTTAGGCACATACAGAAATCTATTTGTGTTTTTTTTTTGGATGCTAGTTGCTAAGTTGAAGAGGTTACATTCCCAAAATCTGGCATCCTAAAAATACTCCTAGATCGGGTTTTACATGATGGAGTAAATGGAAGTATGCTCCCGTGGGACCATAGAATCTTTCAACTTAATAATTATTAATATCTTCATTTTTTTTAATATCATTATTAATATCATTATTTAGGGCTGTACATACTATATAACACCATATTAAGGGCTATACATACTATTTTGTTCCAAGATTGCCCTTCAAATTTGGATAGTCAGCGTGATATATGAAGAACTAGAAAATATTTAAAAGATGGCATAAATGGGAGAAAATCGTTACTTGGGTGGTAGTTTTGTAATAATTCAACCTAAGATGCCAAACAAAGGTGGCAAATTGAGGTTCTCCCTTTGTTTTTTCCTGCAAACCCATAAGTCGACGAGCATCTTAATTTTAATCTAAAACTTGCCCTGTTGCAAAAGATTTATATCCTTAACCTCATTTGACAGGACACATTCCAACTTGAAAACACTAAGAGTATTCCATCATCTCCATGAGTCTTCTGTGCATTGGGTTCTGGATCATCAATTAATCAACTAACTGAAAATGTGAATCTAAGTTGATTTCCTTCTCTTTTTCTTTCCCAAACAATGTTAATTTTCAGAGGTCATTAATTTGTTACCTGAAAGCAGTTGTTTGTAGCTCAAAACCTCATCAATTTTCAAGGCAAATAAAGATGAAACTTTCTAGTTCAACAGCAACAACTCATGAATATATAGGGAAATTTGTTTTTCATCAGTTTTTTATTTTCTTTGTAGTTATTAACTATGTGTGTGTGAGGGTGTGTGTGTGTGTGTGTGTGTGTGTGTGTGAGAGAGAGAGAGAGAGAGAGAGAGAGAGAGAGAGAGAGAGAGAGAGTAGTATACGTACGAACGAAACGAAAACGAAAAAGAAAGTACGAAACCAAACCGAAACCGAAGAACGAACTAATAAGTAAAACTACGTAGTAATAAAG